CCCCCACAGACTGCATCCCCTCCATGGCCTACTCTCCAGCTCATATCCCACTCAGATCCAAATCTGAGGGAGAATTTTATCTATCAAATCACTCAAATGGGTCGACTTTACAGTAGCACCTGACAGTCTTTGTATTTAGCCTCACAGACCCTTTTGAGGTAGGAAGTAGGGCTGTCAATTAATTGCAGTTAACTCAAGTGATTAACTCCAAAAAAATTAACTCAGTTAAAAAAATTAATCATGTTTAATCACAGTTTTAATTACACTACAATAAGAGAATACCAATTGAAATGTATTATAAATATGTTTGATGTTTTTTAACATTTTCAAATATATTGATTTCAATTACAATACAGAATACAAAGTGTACAATGCTCACTTTATATTATTTTTATTACAAATATTTGCACTGTAAAAAAAACCAAAAGAATGGTATTTTTCAATTCACCTCATACAAGTACCATAGTGCAATCTCTTTAGTGAAAGTGTGACTTACAAATGTAGATTATTTTGTTACATAACTGCACTCCAAAACAAAACAATGTAAAACTTTAGAGCCTACAAGTCCACCCAGTCCTACTTCCTGAACAGCCAATCGCTAAGACAAACAAGTTTGTTTACATTTACAGGCTATAATGCTGCCTGCTTCTTTACAATGTCATCTGAAAGTTAGAACAGGCATTCACATGACAGTGTTGTAATCGGCATTGCAAATATGTTAAACATTCTGCTAAACAGATATGCTAAACATTCGTATGTCCCTTCATGCTTTGGCCACCATTCCAGAGGCCATGCTTCTATGTTTCTGCCATCAGTAAATATACATTTTTGAAATGCTCTAAACCTATTGTGATTGTGTGTGTGCATGAGCATACTTAAGATTTAATTTAAAAAGTAGTTTAAGTTGAAAGCACTCTGGTTTATATCAGTTATATATCAGACGGATGAGCAGTGCCCCCACTGATTTATTCCTGACACTGCCTGGAGAAAAACAGTTAAGTTACCACTCTTTTGGGTTCTGAAAACCCTAGGTAACAAGCGTACAATAAAAATGTGAGTATTGTAGACATGGAAAATGGGGTCCACTTACTACTATTATTCATATAGTGTCCAAGAGTGTGCTAGATACTTTACACATACAAACACATGAGCGGGGTGTGGGATCTATTGTGTATACCTAACTGTAAATAAAGTTTCTTCCATTGGCAAAGGGAATGATGCAAAAACGTAATCAGTCTTTTCTATTTCCAACAGCTAGACTGTGACTACGTGCAACCCTAAGCAAGGTTTAGGGTGTAAGCCGTGCCATCCGCGGAATAGCATCCCTGAGCCACAATGTCCCTCTTGCATCCTGCTTGTTCTCAGGTGCAAGGGGATAGGCCTTTATTGCCATCCGCTACCCGTAATAAATTCTTACCCCACTCCACACTGGCCACCCAAGGCTACTCATTGTCTGCCCTGCCTCTAACACTCCTCATGGACCTGCTCTGGGAAGGAGTAGGCATCTGCTCAGCCCTATTTACTCCTGGACCCCAGGACCCAAAGATTGAGTCCTACATGTAAGGGCATGTGTATGTGTGTGTGGGGGGGAGGGGCTTCTTACTCCTTTGCAGGGGTGCATAGGCTCAGTCTAACCCTAAATCTTATTATTCTTTCCCCCTCCACAATATTTCATTAGCAGCAGATTATTTTGACTTTAAAAGAACCCAAGGAAATCATTTATAAATGATTAGCTGTACTTTATAACAAACTGTTTACGAGTGAGAAGTGACTCATGGAATAAATTATATTTCATCTGATTAACCCATCTTTTTTGCTCTGCTTATAGCCTGAAGCAGTCTATTCCACTGGCACACTGCAGAGGAAGCAATGCTTTCCCCATTTTAGAGGGACCACGGAGAATGTGAATTGTCTTGTTACAAGACCAAAATTAATGCAGTGCTGCCAATCGACCTTCTCAGGACACCTGCTCCTCATAGTGTGCAGCAACACACTAGAAAGTTATTCCAACAAATGGAAAGCGCTCAGGACTCCGAGCTCACTTTCTCCTGAGAAAATTAGGGGATGTAAGCACAAATTCAGTATAGAAAGCAGTTACCCTTGGAATATTGTAGATAAAGAAAACATATGGTGGGTGATAACTCAGTTCTTCACCATTACCACACCAGAAGCTACAGGAAGGATGGTCTTTGATTGATGCACAGGACTGGGAGTGAATTTATTCAGACCCTGCTACAGACTTCTTACCTGACCTCAGGCAAGATCTCTAATCTTTGTGCCTTCATGTCTCCATGTACAAAATCCCCAGATTGCTAAAGGCATTTAGATTTTGTTTTGTTCAGCATTGTAGGGCCTAAGTTATGGTGATGGCGAAGTCCCATTTTCAAACGTGGCATAGATACTGACTTCTAATAAAACTCAGGTAACCTTAATTCTGGCATTTTCTAACTTTTGAGTGCTGGAATTGAAACCTTAATAACGTTATTTTAATGTCCACTTACGTGCATAGCTCTAGAAATACAAAGCATACTATTAACTTGCTTTCATGGTTTTGACTCTGGGCTGCAGAAAATTCTTTTACATTTGATGCTGATTTGCCACTAGCTTCTAATGGGACTTAGCTGAAGGAAGCCTTATTTTTCTCTTTGAACCTGGAGAGTCCAATTTTCAAAACTTTAGTGCCTTACATTAGGTTACTATATGGGAATTTGAAAATTCTGGTGCCTGAGAGTTGGGCACCTCAATCCTATTGAAATTCAGTGAGACATGGGCACCTAATTTCCTTAAACTCCTTAAAAAATCCCAACCCATAAGTCAGTATTTGGGTACATATATTTAGTTGCCTAAGTAAATATTCAGGTAATCCAGTATAGATTTTTGTGCCGAACCTTAAGCAACCCCATTTGAAAATGGTGTCCTGGATAAACCATACCATCTAAGCACCTGAATTAAGTCTGTAGGACCAGCTGCATCAGTCATAGCCAAGGCTTTGTTTCAAAACTATTTTCTAGTTATCTTCAGTTCTACTATAAATTATGACTCCAGTGAAGACAACTCCTATGAAAATATCTCCTATTATGCTGCAGAGTTAGGTCTGGTCAGCTAAGGTAGCAGTGACAAAGATCTGTTCACATTGCAGAGGATATGGATGATCCTTCATGTTTCCAAGAATGCAGATCTCAGATGCACTTACAGTAGCTTTAATCATTTTTGAGGAAGGAGACATAGCAAAAGCTAGAGGCTGGGGGAACAGTTTGTGTGACTGGTTGGATCACAGAAACCCTCTGGGAGCTGCCAACTGATATGCCAAGACTACTTCTGCCCCTGCTTTCCCTGCCAGCCTGGGACCCCAGCACCCTGTCTTGCTGAGCCAGACATGTCAGTCTACTCCAACACAGACCCAGAGTCTGAACCATGTGCCCCAGATCTGCAGGCTTGACTGAAAGCAACTTAAGAAGTGTTCCTGTCTTTAACACTCAGATGCCCAACTCCCAATGGGGTCCAAACCCCAAACAAATCTGTTTTACCTTGTATAAAGCTTATACAGGGTAAACTCATAAACTGTTCGCCCTCTATAACACTGATAGAGAGATATGCACAGCTGTTTGCCTTCCCCCCGCCACGTATTAATACATACTCTGAGTTAATTAATAAGTAAAAAGTTATTTTATTAAATACAGAAAGTAGGATTTAAGTGGTTCCAAGTAGTAACAGACAGAACAAAGTGAATTACCAAGCAAAATAAAACAAAACACGCAAGTCTAAGCCTAGTACAGTAATAAAACTGAATACAGATAAAATCTCACCCTCAGAGATGTTTCAATAAGTTTCTTTCACAGACTGGATGCCTTCCTAGTCTGGGCACAATCATTTCATCTGGTACAGCCCTTGTTCCAGCTCAGGTGGTAGCTAGGGGATTTCTCATGATGGCCGCCCCCTTTGTTCTGTTCCACCCACTTATATATCTTTTGCATAAGGTGGGAATCCTTTGTCCCTCTGGGTTCCCACCCTCCTTCTCAATGGAAAAGCACCAGGTTAAAGATGGATTCCAGTTCAGGTGACATGATCACAAGACTTCATTACCCACTTGCCACCCACAGGTAGAGAGGAAGACTTACAAGTAAAACAGAGTGGTAGCCATGTTAGTCTGTATCAGCAAAAAGAATAAGGAGTACTTGTGGCACCTTAGTGACTAACAAATTTATTTGAGCATAAGCTTTCGTGGGCTAAACCGCACTTCATCAGATGCATGCAGTGGAAAATATGGTAGGAAGATATATATACACACAGAGAACATGAAAAAAATGGGTGTTGCCATACACACTATAACGAGAGTGATCAATTAAGGTGAGCTATTATCAGCAGGAGAAAAAAAACCTTTTGTAGTGATAATCAGGATGGCCCATTTCCGACAGTTGACAAGAAGGTGTGAGTAAAAGTAGGGGTGTGTGTGGGGGAAATAAGCATGAAGAAATAGTTTTAATTTGTGTAATGACCCATCCACTCCCAGTCTTTATTCAAGCCTAATTTAATGGTGTCCAGTTTTCAAATTAATTCCAACTCAGCAGTCTCTCGTTGGAGTCTGTTTTTGAAATTTTTTTGTTGTAATATTGCAACTTTTAGGTCTGTAATCAAGTGACCAGGGAGATTGAAGTGTTCTCTGACTGGTTTTTGAATGTTATAATTTCTGATGTCTGATTTGTAGGTCCATTTATTCTTTTACATAGAGACTGTCTGGTTTGGCCAATGTACATGGCAGAGGGGCACTGCTGGCACATGATGGCATATCACATTGGTAGATGTGCAGGTGAACGAGCCTCCGATAGTGTGGCTGATGTTATTAGGTCCTATGATGGTGTCCCCTGAATAGATATGTGGACAGAGTTGGCAATGGGCTTTGTTGCAAGGATAGGTTTGTGGGTTAGTGTTTTGGTTATGTGGTGTGTGGTGGCTGGTGAGTATTTGCTTCAGATTAGGGCTGTCTGTAAGCAAGGACTGACCTGTCTCCCAAGATCTGTGAGAGTGAGGAATTGTCCTTCACGATAGGTTGTAGATCCTTGATGATGCACTGGAGAGGTTTTAGTTGGGGGCTGAAGGTGACGGCTAGTGGCGTTCTGTTACTTTCTTTGTTGGGCCTGTCCTGTAGTAGGTGACTTCTGGGTACTCTTCTGGCTCTTTCAATCTGTAAAACAGAGCCATCTACAGGTAATTGTGCTGGTTAATGGGAGCCATTAAGATTACAAACCACCATTAATGGCCCACACTTTGCATTACTATAATAGGATCTCAGAGTTATATTTCATATTTCTAGTTTCAGACACAAAAGTGATACATTTATACAAATAGGATGACCACACTCAGTAGGTTATAAGCTTTGTAATGATACCTAACAAGAGACCTTTTGCCTGAAGCATATTCCAATTACATTATATTCACACTCATTAGCATATTTTTATAAAGTCATATAGAGTGCAACTTCACAGTTTGTCAATATTATCTCTAATAGGAACAGATCCTTGTCACTGCCACTCAAGTTAAAAATAAAAAGATACTTCTGCAGTGTTATAGGAGATACTTTTGTTTGTTTCAGAGTAGCAGCCATGTTAGTCTGTATTTGCAAAAAGAAAAGGAGTACTTGTGGCACCTTAGAGACTAACCCATTTATTTGAGCATAAGCTTTCTTGAGCTACAGCTCACTTCATTGGATGCATTCAGTGGAAAATACAGTGGGGAGATTTATATACACAGAGAAAATGAAACAATGGGTGTTACCATACACACTGTAAGGAGAGTGATCACTTAAGATGAGCTAATACCAGCAGGAGAGCGGGGGTGGGGGTGGGGAGGAGAAAACCTTTTGTAGTGATAATCAAGGTGGGCCATTTCCACGGTTGACAAGAATGTCTGAGGAACAGTGGGGGGGGGGGGAGAGGGGAATAAACATGGGGCAATAGTTTTACTTTGTTTAATGACCCATCCACTCTCAGTCTCTATTCAAGCCATTGTTTCATTTTCTCTGTGTATATAAATCTCCGCACTGCATTTTCCACTGAATGCAACCGATGAAGTGAGCTGTAGCTCATGAAAACTTATGCTCAAATACTTTTGTTTGTGTTACCCAATTCATACTATTCCACTTCCTTACACATATAAAACCACAGGAAATTTTATGGACAAAGCAGCTTATCTATGTCAGTCTTCTCCTATAGGCTGCACACAACACAATATTTTCCCACTTGTCCATTGCTTCCGCATTTCTAGGTTCTGTTGTTCGGGCAGGTCATCAATCAGATATGACCTTCCTTCCTCTCCCAGGCTCCTAGTTGTCTAGTGTCTTTTACTTATAGGTATATTACTTCTATTTAGACTGCACACAATTTGAGACAATGGACAGTTTTCTTATATGGTTGATCAAAACCGGATTCTGGATCCAGATCCAAATTTTGCAAGTGGGTCCATGTGACCCTTGGAAGTCCAGAGGAGTAGGAAGAGAGGCCTATTGCTGTGGGCTGTGCTTGCACGTATTGACTGTCAATGGTATTTTTGTGCCCAACTCCCATAGCTCTTTTGAAAATCCCAGTTCAAATCAAGACAAAGGGTGAGAGAAAAGTACCATTACCCCCATTTTACATATGGCGATCCCAGGCACAGAGATTGAGTGAGTTGTCCAAGGGGACAGAGGAGGTCTGTGGTAGACTTGGGAATTGAACCCAGATCTACTGAGTCCCAGTCCACTCATGTAAACATTGATGCACAATAATTTGGCTAGTTCATGTTTATGTTGAAAGAATTCTGCAAGCTGTAAAATGTGTTCATTTTCATTGCACTTGAACTTAACTCACAAATCTAAACAAACAAACAAAAAAAGGCAGACTTCCACCAATTTTAAAAAACCCAAGGAGTTAAGCATCAAGGGTGGGTTTGGATCTCGGATACAGAAGCAGTTGTGATAATTGTTTAGCTGGCTATATATGTTTATCTTGGTGAGTCAAATGCTGTCTCACATCGTCCAGCAGCTGATTAAACATGTTTGTTCAGCATAATTAAGGAAGCACTCTTTGGGTGACCCCATCATGCTGGATTTCCTCAATTATTCCCATACCACATTTCTTCATTAATAGATTCTTGGGATTTGTCCTGAGTTTATTTCTTCAGAATCACTGGTCTTCATTTCACCTGCAAATCAATTTGTATTAGAATGGCCATTAGCTTTGCCATTTCCAATTCTATATACTGCCCTTTGTACTGAACTATCTGTCATCCTATATAAAACATCATTTATAGGATATTTGCTGGAAGTTAACTTTTTAAATAAAGCTGAACTAATTCAAAATGTTTCTACCACTGGATTCTCAAATATTAGCTGCTTTGAGTCAGATAATTAGGATCCAATAAGTAAGCCTGGCCAGATTAAGAAATTGCCCAAACTTTTGTTCATCCCTTGAACCAAACCAAATTAGAACTTTAAAGATTTGCTATCTAGTTGACTATGTTCCCTCTTTGGTAGAGGAGATTCTCTATGCCAGGTCCAGCTGCATGTGTGCTCTCTGACCTGGAGCTTTCCTGATAGGTGTGTGTCAAGGTTCCTTCCCCACTCTGAACTCTAGGGTACAGATGTGGGGACCTGCACGAAAGACCCCCTAAGCTTATTCTTACTAGCTTAGGTTAAAAACTTCCTCAAGGTACAAACTTTGCCTTGTCCTTGAACTCTATGCTGCCACCACCAAGCGTGTGAAACAAAGAACAAGGAAAGAGCCCACTTGGAGATGTCTTCCCCCCAAAATATCCCCCCAAACCCTACACCCCCTTTCCTGGGGAAGGCTTGATAAAAATCCTCACCAATTTGCATAGGTGAACACAGACCCAAACCCTTGGATCTTAAGAGCGATGAAAAAGCAATCAGGATCTTAAAAGAAGAATTTTAATTAAAGAAAAAGTAAAAGAATCACCTCTGTAAAGTCAGGCTGGTAAATACCTTACAGGGTAATCAGATTCAAAACATAGAGAATCCTTCTAGGCAAAATCTTAAGTTACAAAAAGACACAAAAACAGGAATATACATTCTATTCAGCACAGCATATTTAGCAGCCATTTAAACAAAAGGAAATCTAACGCATTTCTAGCTAGATTACTTACTAACAAGTTCTAATACTCCATTCCTGTTCTGTTCCCGGCAAAAACATCACACAGACAGACAGGCCCTTTGTTTCCCCACACCCCCCTCCCCAGCTTTGAAAGTATCTTGTCTCATCATTGGTCATTTTGGTCAGATGCCAGCAAGGTTATCCTAGCTTCTTAACCCTTTACAGGTGAAAGGGTTTTGCCTCTGGCCAGGAGGGATTTTATAGTTCTGTATACAGAAAGGTGGTGACCCTTCCCTTTATATTTATGACAGTGTGTTTAAACATGCAGAGCATATCCTGAAAACCCCAAATCACATACTCTGTGGGAGTTCCAAATTGCTCTAGTAAATCACTAAACAAAGCATCAAACCAGGTGTTCAGATATCATGGTGATGGGCGTAGAAGCAGAAGCTGGATAGATAGATCATGTAAACTGTGCAGCTAGAGGCTCCAAAACAGTTTTCTTCTGCAGAAGAGAAAAAAATATATAAAAACCTCCTCTCTGAACACTGCCAGTGAAGGGAAGGGAAGACCCTCTCTGACGAATCCTCCCAGTAAGGTGGATGGGAAATGAAGACAATGGAGAATTCCCTTGTGACTGATGCTGGTCTGCTAAACATGAAAAATCTTACAATCTACAGATAAGACACCAAAGGGTGTATTATGATGCCCATTTTATAGATTTAAAACAGGGTTAGAGATTAAGTGATTTGCCCATGGTTTCACAGGTAGTCTGTGGCAGAGGCCTAGACATCCTGCATCCCAGTCACTGGGTTATCCAATAAGCTACCCTTTCCTTCCTCATTTTTCACATATGTAAAAGTGGTTGGATTTCTTAGATATGTAAAACAGATTTTCATGGGGGCTCAGCATGTCCACAGGGGTCTTCCCCATTTGACCAGTGTGGGGTTGATACATCCCGTCACACAGTCATCAAGATTCCCTGCTGAGTCAAGCTATTACAAGCAGGAACTCTGCTCTGCCTCACCTAAGGGTCCAAACAAGCAGTCTATATAAAGAGCTAAGCCTGGTGGCGAGTGGGAGACAGGGGTAGGGGAACCCGGGCCCACCCTAATCCACCAGGTTCCAACCCAGGGCCCTATGAAACCAGTAAACTCCCTATTAAGGTTTCAAGCCTTGGCTCCTAATGCATTTCCTGCATCACTTCCTACCATAAAGCCCATCTCAAGCACCTCCTTGGCTGGCAGCGGCTTGGCATCCCTGTCAGTTTCCACAGTCAGCTGGTCCTCAGCAGCATAGTCAGGCTCCACAGCCTCAGCAGTCTGGAGGTTGGTGGTTCTTTCTGCAGGATCCTGCAGCACATAGCCTTCCTTCTTCTCAGCCAGCCCCAACTGAGCTGACCTGCCTTCTTTTATCTGTTGCCTCCACCTGGAGCAGGTGCAGCAGAGGCGAGGGGACATGGTCTTTTGGGCCCCCAGTGATCGGTCAGTTTCCATTTGCCCAGTGTGGGATCGATACACCCCATCACACAGATAGAAACTCAACCATCTGTTAGCATGTCTACCTGATTAGATCCCAGGGAGATTCTTGGATCCCATGGTAATGGACAAAGTATGAGAGGCTAGAGAGATACAGACACAATTTACCTTTCATAACCCTGTAAACACAACACTACCAGCTGTCTCATCATCTCCTCTGTCTCATGTAACTTTAGTTTCATTCTTACCATGTTCTACCCTATAATAGTTTGTGCTACCAATCCTCATGCTCTAAGGTTTTCTGTAATTTCAAATGGATTCAGGTTAGTGCAGATTACAACGCAACTGGAATGAAACTGCTCCCATTTTAGATTGCTGCCTTAGCTGTTCAAATTAAGATAACTTTAAATAGAGTTTTGGAAGAATGCCTGGCAAATTTTCTTTTTTCAGTTCAGTTGCTATCATTTGCTTTCTGTGAGGCTCAATCAATGCTTTCTGTGAGGCTCACAGGGTGCCACTCAATCTCATCTGTAATTTGGTTTGCAATACAATACAAATTCTGGAAGTCTATTTAGGTAAATACATTTGTTGTCTGTTGAATGGATGAATGTAGGTACCCT